TGGGTCTGATGTGCATTCACTAATATGGCGATGATATTTATACAATTATTACAGAATTGCATAACAGTAAATCTTCTATTTTTTGTTGTGAATAAAAATTCATTATGTGAATAAAAAATCAAAATGGAATTTGTTTGTAAAGCCTCAAAACGTAACTGTTAAACAGAGGAAATGTTAGTTTAGTTCCAGGAATACCTACATTGTTTATTCTGGACCCTGTTTTGAAATTGGAATATTTTGAACTTTGTGTTAAATTGGCCAAATTAACAATTTCCGATCACTTTAATTTGTAGTTGAAACAGTTGACTTGGCGATTTCTTGTGCTCAATCGATAGAATAGACGTAATACTAGTGAAATAGCTAAGAATTTGGTTGACTGGAATAATGTAATTGGCCTAAAATGGGAGTCAAAGTCGGCAAAATCGCCGATTCGTAAATATTGCTGACACATCAAAATTCACGAGAGCATAATTTCGTCAATTTTCCATCAAATTTCGTACTTTTTGTTTCATTACCTTCACAAAAAGATTCTTTACCATTTCATAAGAAAAAATAACAAATTTTTTTTTTGAAAATTCTTTGGCACTGATGCACCACTTCAGATTTGGGCCTTGGACCCTGAAGGGGTTAAACCTCTCAAACCAACCTTTGCTGGCCTTAAATTCACTCACATGACTAGCTGCAGGCATTTTTTTAATTAAATCGTCATGCAACTTCCTAGCCTTTTCACATTTATTTAGCCTTTTCTCGTTTATCCACACCAATAAGAGTCTCTCAACATCTACCGCTTGCGATCTCAGTTTCAAAAACATAGTTGCACCTTTGGCAAGAACAGCTTCCTTGATTGCCGTTTTCTTGCCCACAATAGTAGCGATGGTTGATTGGGGTTTATTATGCAACCTGACCAGCTCAGAGACACGCTCTCCACTTTCATACTTAGCAATGATCTCTTTCTTCATCTCCATAGTAATTCTCACCCTTTTTGCTGTAGGGTTGGCACTAGAAGCTTTCTTGGGGCCCATGGTGACTTATTTTGCAGGTGCAATCACTACAAAGGCTGTGATAATATGAAATGTTCCAGTTGTATGTTTGGAAGCAACCACAGTGGCTGGCTTGTAAACACTGGCACCCACAGGACAAGTGAGGCATGCTCAGGCCAAAGTGGACGCGTTTCGTACAGAACGAGTAGCGCTGGTTGGGTTTTTAAGCGCTACTCGAGGCAAAATTTTTGCGTTAAAATGTTTCGCTAGTCAGATTTATTGTTAATCGATGCCATCGCTGGTTGAGGGTCCACTGTATTTCCGAGCTAAATGACAATCACTGAGCCATTATCTTGACGAAAAAACATTACTATTACCGAATATTACGAAATCCGGCGACTACGATATCCTGGGGTCCACTGTATCACTAACATGGAACCAGTGGGTGACATGATGCACTTGAAACAATTTGTGATCTGTTGTTAATTTCCTTCATATACGAGAAAGTGGTTTCAATCTTGGATCGTTTTCAATTCAATTCAAGTTTATTCTCTATAATGGTTACAATGTGGGCTTTACAGGTTTTGGGTATTTTGTGGTTTACATGTTGTAAAATACTAATTACAGAGGGGGCCACTAGGACACCTAGCATGGCTAGGCATTTCGAGCAGACTTAGATTAATTCTTAACATTAAATCCTTATAGATTATACAGTGGACCCTCGACCAACGATGGCATCGATTAACGATTAATCCCATTAGTGATACATTTTAACGCAAAATTTTTGCCTCGATTAGCACTAAAAAACTCAACCAACACTATTCGTTCCGTCTGAGATGCGTCCACTTCTGGCCAGTGTTTACTAGCCAGCCAGCCACCGTGGTCGCTTCCAAGCATACAATCGGAACATTTCATATTATCACAGCCTTTTTAGTGATTGCACCTGCAAAATAAGTCACCATGAGCCCCAAGAAGGCTTCTAGTGCCAACCCTACAGCAAAAAGGGTGAGAATTACTATGGATATGAAGAAAGAGATCATTGCTAAGTATGAAAGTGGAGTGCGTGTCTCCGAGCTGGCCAGGTTGTACACAAAACCCCAGTCAACCATCGCTACTATTGTGGCCAAGAAAACGGCAATCAAGGAAGCCGTTCTTGCCAAAGGTGCAACTATGTTTTCGAAACTGAGATCGCAAGTACTCGAAGATGTTGAGAGACTGTTATTGGTGTGGATAAACGAAAAACAGATAGCAGGAGATAGCATCTCTCAAGCGATCCTATGTGAAAAGGCTAGGAAGTTGCATGACGATTTAATTAAAAAAATGCCAGCAACTAGTGGTGATGTGAGTGAATTTAAGGCCAGCAAAGGTTGGTTTGAGAGATTTAAAGAGAAGGGAAGTAACCCCAGAAAAGGACTTGCCACCTCAAGTCCTAATGGAAGGGGATTCCCCTTCTAAACTCTAAGACCATCAACACTCCTCCCTCCTCCCATCCCATCAGTCATCACCAGATCTTCAATAAAGGTAAGTGTCAAGTAACTGTGCATGTCTTCTTCAGTTTGTGTGTATTAAAATTAATATTTCATATGGTAAAAACAATTTTTTTTTCATACTTTGGGGTGTCCTACACGGATTAATTTGATTTCCATTATTTCTTGTGGGGAAAATTAACTTGACTAACGATAATTTTGACTAACGATGAGCTCTCAGTAACGGATTAATAGCATTAGTCGAGGGTCCACTGTAGTATTGAGGCTAAGTGACTACATCATAATTTGTGAGTTTAGCAATGTGAATGCTTTTGTTTTGGCACAATACAAGGTGTCTATATTTGAGTATCATAGGCAAACTTATGACTAGTTAGGATTTATTATTTTAAGATTAAGATTAGTATTTCTGGGTTTATAGTCAGTGGGTGAGTGAGTGTAATTTGAACCACCAGGTGGTTATCATGTAGTTAGTTGTCGGGGTGTATCAGGGAGATAAAATGTTTTCTAACTGTAGTTTTGAAAGTGATGAATGTGTCTGCAGTTCTAGAGTTTTCAGGTAGGGTGTTCCAGATTTTAGGTCCTTTGAAATACATTGAATTTTTGTAAAGGTTTAGTCGAACATGGGGAATGTCATAGAGATGTTTGTGTCTGGTGTTATGCCTGTGGATCCTGTCACAACTATCAAGAAAGCGTTTTAGGTCAAGGTTAATATTGGAATTTAAGGTTCTGTAGATATAGATTGCACAGTAGTAAGTGTGGATGTTCTGAACCAGGGAGTAAGTTTAGATCTCTGAAGAGTGGGGGGGGTGTGTTGCCAGGGATGGGATTTAGTGATTATTCTTACTGTGGCTTTTTGTTGGGTTATTATTGGCTTTAGGTGTGTTGCTGTAGTTGAACCCCAAGCACAGATAGCATAGGTGAGGTATGGATATATAAGTGAATGGTGTAGTGTGAGAAGGGCAGTTTGTGGTACGTAGTATCGTATCTTGGAGAGGATCCCCACCATTTTGGATACTTTTTTTGTTATGTGTTGGATATGGGTGCTGAAATTTAGGTTGTTGTCGAGGTATAGGCCAAGGAATTTACCCTCATTATGTCTGGCAATTAGAGTGTTGTTGATCTTAATGTTAAGTTGTGCAACACCTGCTCTGCTACCAAACATAATATAGTAGGTTTTGCCAGTGTTAAGTGTAAGTTTATTGGTTGTCATCCAAGTCAACATTTTGAGCAGCTCCTTGTTAACAATGGTGTTGAAGGTGGCAAGATTAGGGTGGGAGATGACATAAGTCATGTCGTCAGCAAAGAGAATGGGTTTCAAGTGTTGGGATATGTTTGGAAGATCATTGATGTAAATGAGGAAGAGCAGGGGTCCAAGGACACTTCCCTGCGGAACTCCAGTATCAAGTGGCCATATTGATGAGGCTGTGTCTTTAATGGTGACATACTGATACCTATTAGAAAGGTAGGATTTAAAATATGCAAGCGCATGGCCTCTTATACCATAGTGGTCAATTTTGTGGAGTAGGATGCTGTGGTCTACTGTGTCAAACGCTTTTCTTAGGTCAACAAAAATTCCTAGCGGATATTCCTTACTTTCCAGTGCTGTGTAAACCAGGTCTAGCATTTTTATAATTGCATCATTAGTGCTTTTATTTTTCCTGAATCCAAATTGGCAGGGGTTGAGTATGTTTTGTGATGTTAGAAATGAATATAGTCTCCTGTGCACGAGTTTCTCGAAGATTTTGGATAGCAATGGTAAGTTTGAAATTGGCCTATAGTTGTTTACGTCTGTAGGGTCACCACCCTCATGTATTGGTGTAACCCTTGCTGTCTTGGGTAGTGTCGGGAAAGTGCTAGTTTCTAGTGACTTGTTAAAAAGTAATGTAATAGCATGCGAAAGGACATGGGCCGCTTGCTTGTACAATAATGGTGGGACGTGAGACAGATTCCCCGAGTTATTTTTAAGGGAGGGTAGACACAGTTAGACACGTACTTAATTTATCATATAAACTGTTAAAATTGCATCAAGCTAATTTTCTGGAAAACATGACCTGGATACACTAATTCAAGAAATATTTGTAACAAAATTTGCTTTTTTTTTATGCAAATCCTAACCAGGGATGTGGGTGTGATCTTAATGAAGGTCTTGATGTGGAAGGGAAGGTTTCTGGAAAAGCTACTGTGTTTCCTCCTGTTTTTCTTTTACAGTTGCCCACTGTTCATGCTCTCTAATACCCTCTTCTTGTCCCTACTCATTTTAAGTTATATTCTGTCTTAGAATAATGTTGAAGGCAGGCTAATACTGCAGCATCATGTGCCAAGCCATATTGTGTAGTTATTAGATTATAGAATTAGGTTGATGTTTGTAATATATGTGCACACAAATTTTAATGTGCTTATTTGTGAGACTTATTTTATGATATAAAGTTAGGTAAATGGTGCATATAAATGAAATGGTCATAATACAGTGAATATTTGAAAGAGGAAAGCAGAGTATGTAATGGTAATGATATTCTTTTTTTTATTCCTGCAGATCGTTAATGAACAGAGGCACAATGTTACCATACGACAAGATCAGAGTATACCTTGATGAGGAATATGACTCCGCTGAAAAATTTACTGTAAGTATATTGTAATACAGTCACATGCAAGTGGTCGATGGTAAATACAGAAATTGGAAAACATTAAAATAAAACAGATTCAAGTTATATTGTGTAGCACTTTTTATTTCTTTTGCATAACATGATTTATTTATAATAAATAATAACTAAATATAATTGAGAAACTATTTGTACAGTGGGTGCTTGGTTATTTATCTTGAAGGTGGGATTGTCGAAGAGTATATTAGGGAATGAAGTGGTTGAGAATATAAGGAATATTGGGTCAAAGTTTTCTTCTTCTAGTTCAGTAAAACACAGTTTTATATGAGTTTTGATACCAGTCCATGTATCAGTATGTTTGATAAAAAGAAAGAAGCAATGAAACAAATTTAAACACCTGCTCCTAACTAAAAAATGTAAAAACAAATCCACAATACTTGGCCATATAAAGCCAAATAAATTGGAACCCACCATAACTATGGTACATCAGATAATGTAAAAAAGGTAAATGTATTTGATGAAGTGACAGTTGAGAGAAAGTACAACTTAAAATAAAGAATGAAACATTAGCTTAAAGAAAAAAGTATCGACTCAGGATAAAAAAAATCCTACTTTCTCAACACAAAATCATTACAGTAGGGCCCCGCTTTACGGCGTTTCACCTTATGGCATTCCGCTAATAGGGCGATGTCAAATTATGACCAAAATTTGCTATACGGCAAGCGGTCTTTCAAATACGGCGCCCCCCACCCGGTTTGTTTACATTCTCCGTGCCCACATCTATTATGTCGGGAAACTTTCCAAAATTTCAAGTGTTTTAAAGTTACTGCGTATTTTATATGCACACCTACCATCCGACTTACGACCTGCTCGACATACGTCCACTCGACTTAAGACCGTGCATCTGGCAGCTGGGCTGGGCCGGCTCATGCACACCATTGTATAATATTTGACAATACTCGCGGCGGCAATGCGTCATGCAGGCAGCATCAGTTTGAGTAACCCTGTCCTATCAGCAGCATCATACTGTATTAACTGTACTAACTGGACAGTAAATTTCACCATGGCCCCTAAGATGAAGTCTGTGGCAAGAAAGGCTCTTACTCTCGAACTCTCTATTTGTTTTCTCTGTTGCACATAAACCTGTCTGTATCTGTCTGCCTATATATCTGTGTATCTCTGTGTGTCTGTTTATCTGTCTGTCTACCTGTGTGTCTGTCTTTCTGTCTACCTTTCTATGTCTACCTGTCTGTCTTTGTCTACCTGTGTGTCTGTCTTTATGTCTACCTGTGTGTCTTTGTCTACTTGTGTGTGTCTTTCTACTTGTGTGTGTCTTTATGTCTACTTGTGTGTCTCTTTCTGTCTACCTGTGTGTGTGTCTGTCTACCTGTGTGTGTGTCTGTCTACCTGTGTGTCTATGTCTACCTGTGTCTGTCTTTCTGTCTGCTTGTCTGTCTCAGAGCCACTCATTAAGAGTGTAATTGGTCTTGAAGATGCCATATTAATAATGATAACACAATAATAATCATTGAGGCGCATTAAATGTGTATAAAACGTTGATATAGACATTTTGCTTAATCCATCTATGATTTCTTTTTCAAAATTATATAATAAACATGCTACATAACATATAAACATATAAATTAACAAATATGAGATGCTTTTCTGGTCGGCTTGACAGAGTGAACAGGAATCATTTGTGTCCGGGCTGGTAACAACAACAACAACGTTTGTTTACATAACTCGCCAACCTTCTACACACTCATTCGTTTATTCATTTAATCTTGTTTACTCACCTCTCACTCTACATTAAGACTACAGATATTTTAAGGTAAGTAATGAGTGGACATGATTATTTTTAATATTATTAATTTAGAGCACTGGAGCACAGATCCACTGTATAGCACTTTGTCTGGATTATTTGGGTTATCCTAGATAATTTATACTATGTATGATAACTTTACTTATGTGTACCTGTGTGTGTGTGTGAGAGAGAGAGAGAGAGAGAGAGAGAGAGAGAGAGAGAGAGAGAGAGAGAGAGAGAGAGAGAGAGAGAGAGAAGAGAGAGAGAGAGAGAGAGAGAGAGAGAGAAGAGAGAAGAGAGAGAGAGAGAGAGAAGAGAGAGAGAGAGAGAGAGAGAGAGAGAGAGAGAGAGAGAGAGAGAGAGAGAGAGAGAGAGAAGAGAGAGAGAGCGGAGAGAGAGAGAGAGAGAGAGAGAGAGAGAGAGAGAGAGAGAGAGAGAGAGAGAGAGAGAGAGAGAGAGAGAGAGAGAGAGAGAGAGAGAGAGAGAGGAGAGAGAGAGAGAGAGAGAGAGAGAGAGAGAGAGAAGAGAGAGAGAGAGAGAGAGAGAGAGAGAGAGAGAGAGAGAGAGAGAGAGAGGAGAGAGAGAAGAGGAGAGAGAGAGAGAGAGAGAGAGAGAGAGAGAGAAGAGAGAGAGAGAGAGAGAGGAGAGAGAGAGAGAGAGAGAGAGAGAGAGAGAGAGAGAGAGAAGAGAGAGAGAGAGAGAGAGAGAGAGAGAGAGAGAGAGAAGAGAGAGAGAGAGAGAGAGAGAGAGAGAGAGAGAGAGAGAGAGAGAGAGAGAGAGAGAGAGAGAGAGAGAGAGAGAGAGAGAGAGAGAGAGAGAGAGAGAGAGAGAGAGAGAGAGAGAGAGAGAGAGAGAGAGAGAGAGAGAGGAGAGAGAGAGAGAGAGAGAGAGAGAGAGAGAGAGAGAGAGAGAGAGAGAGAGAGAGAGAGAGAGAGAGAAGAGAGAGAGAGAGAGAGAGAGAGAGAGAGAGAGAGAGAGAGAGAGAGAGAGAGAGAGAGCCAGAGCAGAGCAGAGCCAGAGCCAGAGCCAGCCAATCCCCCCCCCACCCGGTCCCCCAGCCAGCTACGTATTACACATGTTCCAGGTTTTTCTTTACTTAGGGTATAGGTTTACTCTTCTGGCAGGTGACCCTCCCAGTGGTATTCCCCCCATTCCATGTGTCGCCCCAATCCCTAAAGTGAAGAAAGGGGATGTTATGTATGTGATGAAAAAATTTCCCAATGCTTTTCATTTCCTGTATACATTTTTAAGGTTCCCTCAACTTTCGCGGGGGGGTTTAGGGGATAAAGAGCCTGGAATGTTGAAAAATCCGAATGTTTGGTCCCCCAAAATATTGTGGGGAAAATTTAAAATACAAATCTGTTTCCCTTAAAATTTGGGTCGAAAAAAGAAAAATCAAAAAATTACTTTGAAAAGTCTTTAAATTTTTCAAATAAAATTACGTTATGGCTTAAAAAAATGTATGTTTTTAAAATTTTAACATCCCTCCCCCAAATGCGAGCCCGAAATTACCCCCCCTCTGCCCCCCCAAAAACTGGCAGCCACCCCCCTTCCCCCACTGTGTGGAAAGTTTTTTGTTTTTTCCTTTTTTGTTTTTAAAAAATCCCGTATAAAAAATGTCCCCCATTTAGACTCCCATTTTTAAAATTGGCTATTTGGGGACAGGTTTTGGGAAAGGTAAATTTTCATGTGTTTACTTTTAAAAACACAGAAAAGGGAATAAAAAAAATATTTGTGCTACTGAAAAATTATTAATAAAAAATTAATAATAAAATAAAAATTTAATAATAATAATATAATAAAATATAATAAAAATACGTTAAAATTAAAGAAAAAAAATTGTACAAAATACGAGGGTTAAAGCAGTGGTGGGGAAGGGGTTGATGCATGTCGTGTGGTTTTGTTTTTTGCTGGAGTGAGTTTTAGTCTGTGCTCTTCAAAACATTTCACAATAATTCTTTTGTGCTTGGTGTTTTTTTTTTTTTTTTTTTATTTATTTTTTTTAAAAAAATTTGGGGGGCCCCCAAACACTTACAGAGGTCAAAAAATACCCAAAAAAGAGCAGTTTTGAAAACCCACTTTTTAATTTTGCTTAGCTTTACGGGCTGGCTTAAATTAATTTAAAGATGAAAAAGGAAATTGATGACATCGGTGATAAAATTTTAAAGTAAACATTTTATAAAAGCACAGTGAGTATTAAAAGACGGGTTTTATAGGGGTTGGGATGCATTGTTGTACATTCATTTAGAAGGGAGTATTTTTAAAGGGTGTATTTAAAAAAAAATAAATTTGGGATTGGGTTTTGGGTTTTAACTTTATTGATATATTGTGAGAAACTTTTAAGAAATCAATTTATAAAGGTTTTCCGGTTATTCAGTATTTTTTTTGGGTTTTTGGGTGGTGTAAAGTAAACTTTGAGAAGAGCCCTTGGAATTTAAAAACGGGGTTAGTTTTTTTCCTTTTATATTTACAGGTAAGGTTCCAGATTTTGGGCCTTTTTGTGCTTGGGTTTTTGCAAGTGTGAGAGGGGAAACGAGGAACTTCAAAGGAGGGTTTGTCCCTTGTGTTTTGGTCATGTGTTCTGTTGAGGTTGGCAAGGAGATTTTTGGGGGGAGGTTTAATATCAGAGTTAAGTGTTTTTTTGTATGTAATAGGTGCGAATGGGATGAATGTTTTGTATGGTGAATAGGTTTAGTGTATTAAAATATTGGTGGAGTGTGCTGCCTATGTGGGAATTTGTTATCATTCTAACTGCAGCCTTTTTTTGGGAAAAATTAGTGGTCTGAGATGGTTATTGTTGTTGACCCCCATGAAAAAATTCCCTGGGTGAGATGGGGGGTTTTTAAGAGAGTGTTAAAGGGCCAGGAGGGTGATGTGGAGCTTGTACCGTATTTTCCCCGTTTGTTTTGGCCTACAGTTTTTGGAAATTTTCTTAGAAATTTTTTTGTAGTTTGGGAGTGTGCGGGAGGGGTTGAGGCAGGGGTAGGGGCCCTTTTGTTAGGGCCCCAAGTGGTAGGGGCAGGGGTTTAAGAGGCAGTGGTTTGGGGGAGTGGTAGAGGTAGGGGGTAGAGGCGGGGTTTAGAGGTAGTGGTAGAGGGCAGGGGGTGGGGCCCATGGTAGAGGCAGTGGTAGGGCAGTGGTAGGGCGTGGTAGAGGCAGGGGATAGAGGCAGTGGTAAGGCAGTGGGTGAGGCAGGGGTTTAGAGGCAGGGGTTTTG